GGCCCTGACCTCATGATGTCTAGAGGTCTTCAGAATACAAACATTCCGAATACAAATATTTCATCTACAGGCCTTAAGAATACAGATATTCACTAAAAATACACCAACTTCAAGGACTTCAAATTACATTTCATATTTAGACATGGTAAAGGGATGGCTGTTAGTAAATGTGTTCCTTCTGAAGATCTGAAGTATATAAGCCCCAAGGTGAGGAGCTGCAGTATTTGATGTACCCCCAGTGCCTAACATACTGACTGGAACAAATTAGGTGCTTAATAAATATTTGTTTAAAATGAAAGTAAACTGCCCGGCCAGTGTGGCTCAGTGGTTGAGCATCAACCCATGCATTAAGAGGTTACCGGTTCGGTCCTGGCCGGTTTGGCTCAGCAGTTAGAGCGTCGGCCTGCGGTCCGGAGAGACCCGGGTTCAGTTCCCGCTAAGGAACTCGGTTGCGGTTTGTCCCCGGCCCTGGTTGGTCGTGAGGGTGGCAGCCACTCGATGTGTCCCTTTCACGTCGATGTTTCTCTCTCTCTCTCTCTCTCTCTCTCTTTCCCCCTCCCACTCTGTCTGAACAAAAAGTGGAAAAGGGTCCTCAGGTGAAGATAAAAAAAAAAAAAGAGGTTACCGGTTCGATTCTCAGTCAGGGCACATGCCCAGGTTGTAGGCCAAATCCCCAGTGAGGGCATGCATGAGGCAGCCAATCGATGTTATCTCTCATCGATGTTTCTCTCTCTCTCTGTCTCTTCCCCTTCCTTTCTCTCTAAAATCAATAAAGGAAAAAAAAAAATTTAATGAAAGTAAATTGTAACCATCAAAGGTACTGAGTATAAGGACAAAACCTAATCCAGGCTATCTCCTTTCTCCCACCTTCTCTGTAAATTCAACTCATTCCACTAATTCACCTCTGTTCACCTGTTAGAAAAGAAGCAGAATGGCCTTTACAGACTTGTCTCTATTTCGTCCCTTATTATTCACAAGAGGATAACACGCCTTCCCTGTTTGGTTGACTGAAAACATACAGTTCTACACAAATGTAACAGCAAAGGATAGCTGAACTCAAAAAATCAGGGTTTAATATCAAACTCAAACCCACTTTCAAAAGCTCAGCTGAGAAAAACAATATACAAGAAAAAAATCATGATGAGAATAAAACCTATCCTTGAATGTAGTCAAATCATCAGAGAACTGAAAACATCAAACTGGTACCCTGTATTCACTGAGCTACTGAAATATTCATTGGCAAAAAATTAACAGCATAGTAAGGGGCAATACAGGGTCCTTTTTCTTTACAAAAGGACACAATATGCCATATAATCACATTCATTATATTACATATTTTAAAGAATCTACAGAAGACTTTATACTGTGGTCTAATCCTCAGAAACTAGTTTTTTGGAGGTTTGCTTTTGGTTTTATTTTACCACAGATCCTATAATTCTTAGAGTTGATGTCTCCCTCTTTACTTTGGCTGCTAGAAAACTTACAGCCAAACTAGCACCCACTAAAGCATACAGTTTAATTATTGTTTTACTTCAGTTTCATCTACTTTCCTCACCTTTATTTATTTTCCTTTTGTCTCCTTTTCCCCTCTAGTTTACTTTACATAACTGTGTTAGTTTATTATTTGTAAATAGCCTTAATCTTTATTCAAAATGGTAGCAAAAATAAATGTTCAACTATTTCTAAACAAATAATAACCTTACTGTCTGAAAGATGTGGGTGTTTTTTTTTTGGTTTTTTTTTTGGTTTTTTTCTTGGTATGTGCCCCCTAGCGGGAACCAAACCTGGGACTCTCTAGTCCACAGGCCAAACCAGCCAAGGCTGAAAGATCTTTCTTAACAATAGTAATAACAGCAGCTAACCTTTATTGAGCAATTGACTCCAGGCACTAGTCTAAATGCTTTGCAAATATTAACTCATTTACTCCTCTCTACAATTCCATGATGGAAATATAGTATAATTATTATTCCCCCATTTTACAAATGAGAAAAATGGGGCACAAGAAAGTTAAGAAATCTGTCCAAAGTAACACAGCTATAAAGCAGTGGATCGAAAGCTTGAATGCAGGCCATCAGGCTCCATCCCCTTACACAGCCCTACTATGTTTTTTTTAATCCTCACCTGAGGACATTTTTCCCATTTTTTGTTCAGCTAGAGTGGAAGGGAGGGAGGGAAACATGGAAGTGAAAGGGACACATCAAGTGGCTGCCACCAACACAACACAACCAGGGCCAGGGACAATCTGCAACCGAGGTATGTGCCCTCAGCAGGAACCGAACTCGGGTCTCTCTGGACCACAGGCCGACGCTCTAACGGCTGAGCCAAATCGGCCAGGGCCCTACTGTGATTTTTTTACTCATCAAAGCTACATGACTCCTAAAACAGAGTATTTTTCAATTCCTAAAATAATAATGAGAATGATTATTTTGAACAAGTTTCGATCCACTGCTTTATAGCTGTGTTATTAAGTGAACAAGTTAATATCCCCTGCCCTAGGTTTCTAAAATAGGGCTTAGCTGAACCTTTTTGGGGGGATGGTTGGAGGAGAGAAAAAAAAAAAAACAGACACACACACACAAATACACACTCATAAATAAATAAACAGATAAATATAAATTGATTTATATTTATATCTCCCCACACCCGGCTCCCCTTTCCCAAAGAAAGACTGGGAAGTAGGGAAGCATAAGATAAAACCAGAAAGGTAACATGGGTTTTTATACCTTGAGTACCATTTTAATAGTGACAATTAACAAAAGAAAAGATATTTTGTTTTTTAAAGCAAGAGAAGATCAAATTTGTGCATTAGAAAAAATAAACCCAGTGGTGGTATAGAGAGGTGACTAGGCAAAGAGAGTGCAGACAAGTAGGAAAAAATCAGCCAAGAACTGAAAACTACAGGCAAACTAAAGGCCTGAATGAACTAAGCACTGAGAATGAAGATGATGCCGCAAATTTAAGAAACATCGCTAAGGTAAAACTGCTAGGACCTGGTTATTGATTAGACATTGTTATAGAAATGGACATCTCCAAGTCTGTATTATATGCACCCAGGTGAATGATGGTGCCATTAAACTAGATCTGAACTTATTCTTCACAAGAGAATAAGTGAGTTTTGGGAGTCATAATAGTACTATGATGGAGAGGGGCAACTTTTGTCATGAAAACACACTTTAGGTAGAGTGATGGGAATGGGTGTGAATTTGCAATGAGTGAGAATAAACGAGGTTATAAAGTAGAGGTATGAAAAAAAGGCTAATTTTAAGAAGTCAGATTATGAAATGTATAATGAAAGTCTTACATTTCACAGCTGTTTCATCATCTCAAGGGTTCTTTCAAAATCAATCCACACCTAAAAGAGGAAGTGTAGTTCAAAAGGAAATGATCCCTTCTTGGAAAGTCTTAGATTGGATCAGTCCAGATGGAAAAATCAAACAGGATAACCTTCATATACAGGGTGGGGCAAAAGTAGACTTACAGTTGTGAGTATGCTAAAGTTATTCTTGTATTATTATTTATTTATTACTGCCTTATTTTCCATATGAATTATAAAGCTACTTTTGCCCCATCCTGTGTGAAGTGAGTCAAGTAGATTAGCATCCACCCTAAAGATAAAAACTGATAAAACCAAAGAGCATGAATAATGCAAAACTGATGACCAATCTATCATTTAAAATAGCCAGTATGCAGAAGTATGTACTTTTTTAATGCTTTTATTGTTTCATATAATCCTAACGATTCCAATACAAGAAATAACGATTGTCATCACCTCCATTTTGGAGATAAACAATATGAAGGACAGAGAAGTCATGCTTGCTCAATTTCCCAAGGTCACATTTCAGAATAACAGCAAAACTACGACCATATATTCTGCTGCCTAGTCTAGTAATCCATAAACCAAACCACAAATGCTGCCAAATAATTTAAAATGAGATAGGGAAGGCAGAATAGGAAAAATGAATGAAACTCAAGGAACAGAGGAAGCTTTCTACAAGTAAGTAAGACTAACCGCCGGATGAGTCATCATCAGATCCAACCCTCGACGAAATACTCCTGTAATGGGAAATGCTGCCAGGGGCATGTCCTGATAGCCCTAAATAACAGTCTAATTTTAATAAGTCAGGTATGCTTTCAGAACGTGAATAAGCACTAGAAAATGAAATCCCCTCCGCACCCAATCCTAGTTCCCTAACGAACTAGGCGGGGATTACTAACCGCCTCTTTAAGAAAGCACTAAAGTTCTGGCCAGTTTGGCTCAGCGGTTGAGCGCCGTCCTGCAGACTAGAGAGTCCAGGGTTCGGTTCTCGCAAGGGGCACGTACCACACCAAAAAAAAAAAAAAAAAAAAAAAAAAGCACTAAAGATACTTCCGGGGTAACATCACAGAGACGTCTAGGAAATAAATGCCTTAACTAACGTCTTCTTGGACAAGCGTGGGATGGTGTAAATTTCCAGCTCCCTTAGTGAAAACATGCCCTTCTGCTCACAACCACCAACCAACCCAGCCGTCTGGTAAATGGTTCCAATACACTCTTTTCATCTATGCACACTGATGCACAGCACCTGTTTCCAGCCCCTTTACCAGAGTAAAGCAGAGGAAGGCAGGGACAAATTAGACTAAGGCCTCAAAGACAGAAAGCGGCGCGTCTAAATAACAAACGAAGAGCTAAAAAAGTGAGCCAGAAAAAAGAAAGGAATTGGGCAATCACCTGTCCCTAAAGAAAAGTAATACAAGTAAAGGCCCCCAGCCCCGGGTCAGAGCAGACCACAACAGTACCGAGGCCTAGCTGGCCTTGGAGCAGGAGCCAGGTGTCTAACCCCCGGACTGAGCCGGCATGCTCGAATAAACAGCTGACACCACCAAGTCCTCTGCTCCTACATCCGCCACAGGCTGTTCGTGACACAGAGAGACCCTCGCATCCCTCTCCGGCCGGCCTCCACGCAGCAAAAGCATCCACCATCCTGGAAAAAGGAAAGCTGTTCCCCCTGGCCGTTACTTACCTTCCCGCTCACAGCACCCGCGACCGCCATGTTTCCTGCGCGTGCCTGTGATGACGTAGCAGCGCCTCACGTGTCTCTCGGACTCACAACAACATCCGGCAAAACTAAGCTGACATCCGGGCGGGAAATGAGTGGCAAGCAGAGGGAACGGCGCGGAGTGAAGGGGAGGGGCGGGAGGAGCCGCCTGACGCATGCGTGCTGAGTTGGGCTCAGAGGCAGCTAGGGTGGAGCCTCTGGTGCATACTGCGCATGTGCTCATGTAACTTCTTAAAGGGAAGTTGAATTGAAGTGGTTTTGCCTTGGGGTTTGCGGAGGAGAGAGACTCAGCGGTAAGACTGTCACTTCAGTTTGGTGAGAACACCATACTGGGAGCCAGCAAACATAGACCTGGCTTTGTGGCCATAGTCAAAGTCACTTCCTCCTTCAGCTTCAGTCTCACTTTCTCATCTGAGATGGTACGACTGTGATGAAGAGTAAAGGAATCCCAGCCCCCTATCTGAGACGCGCACACAGAGACTTTCCCCCGTTTGTGAAGTTGCTGAATTTGAGTCTGGTCACTGCCCCTCACACGTGAGCAAGGTATTTTGATAACTGCGATAGCATACCACGCCCTCACTGCTCTGGAGTCCAATGTACAGAGCTCAGAGCTCCCACACAGTCACTGTGTGACTTGAAACAAGTTTCTGAATTCAACCAAGTTTCAGAACGTAAAATGAGAATTACCCATGGAGTGGTTGTAGGGATCTCATGGGACAATGCATGTGTGGTAAGATGGTTTGTAAAGATAGTAAGATATTAATGTGTTTTCGTCTTGGTGCTATAACAGAATGCTAGAGAATGATTGGAAATCATCCCTGATAGTTCTGGCATAAGATCTGGGACTTTCCTCACCCCCGAGCATAATAAAAGGCCCTTTTGTACCATAACACCTGTGCCTATTGAGGTACTTCTCTCTTCACACAGTAGAGAAAGGTTAGAGGCTTTTGTGGTTGGTTGAATAAGTGGTAACCAATGGGAATAACAGAAAAGAAGGGTTTCAGGCTCTGTGACTATTGGGAACCTAATGGGAGAGGGAGGTAGCAAGACCTTACATGAGAATGGATGTGTAGCAACATTAGGAAGGCTGCACACTAAGCATCAGAGATTCTATCCGTGGCCAAGACCCCATGTCCAAGCTTGGCACTGAATCAGCAAAGCAGCTCATCTGTAAGGGATAAGTGAGCTGGGGAAATGAGCATATTGATAGTAACCAACATTGAGTGAAGACTTGAGAGCCTTTCCAAGTGTACTGGACTAAGACCTCTGGAACATTCATACAACCTTGGGTGTGGTTTGTAGAGCCCTAATACTGACCCAGCTTAAATTTTCTACCAGCTCAGAGTAATAGATTATGATTACAGAAACATTTAATATGACATTTCTTACACCTTTGTTTTGGAGAAAAGTTGAGTGCCAGGAGTAGACTACTTATAATGGTACCTAAGATTTATATAATAAATTTGGGAATTAAAAGCTTCTCATTGAAAATTTGGGACCCTAGATTCATCTACTGCTTTATATCTTAAGCTTCATTCTCCAACTGCCCCTTAAATGCTACTACTGCCCATGAGCTATCCTTGAATTTTTTTCACTTTTCTGGAGCCCAAGTCTCTTTCCTAAAGTCTAAAACCTACACCAGCTGCCTGCTGGATAATTTCTTTTTATCCTCACCTGAGGACACTTTTTCTTTTTGTTCAGATAGAGTGGGAGGGGGAGAGAGGAAGAGAGAGAGAGAGAAACATCAATGTGAAAGGGACATAGTGGCTGCCTCCTGCATGACCCCAACCAGGGCCAGGGACGAACCGCAACTGAGGTACAGGTACATGCCCTGGAATCAAACCTGCGACTCAATGGTCCACAGGCCGACACTCTAACCACTGAACCAAACCAGCCAGGGCTGGACATTTTTATTTGAATGCTCCAGTCACACATCAGAAAGTCCTAAATATTTGCCTCTCAAGGTGTAACCTGCAGCCCTGCCTGGCATCGCTCAGTGTTTAGAACACCAGCCAGCACACCAAAGGGTCTCAGGTTCAATTCTCAGTCAAGGACACATACCTGGGTTGCAGATTTGATCACTACCCCAGGTGGGACACATGCAGGAGGCAACCAATCAGTGTGTCTCTCTCACATTGATGTTTCTCTCTTTCTCTCTCCCTTCCACCCTTTCACTCTCTCTAAAAAAAATCAGTGGAAAAAAAAATATCCTTAGGTAAGGAATAACAACAACAAAAAAGTGTAGTCTGCAGACCAGCAGCATTTGGGAGCTTGTTAGAAATTCAGGATCTCAGGTCCCACCCTGAACCAAAACCCACATCTTAACAAGATCCCCAGATGATTTGTGTGCACAGTAAATTTTGAGAAACACAGTCATAGACAAAACTTATATTTTGCTTTTGTTTTCTGAAAATTACTACCATTTGCTGAAATAGAGATGCAGTCAGAACACAATCTCTCCACGAAAGTGTCGCTATCATGTTTCCCCTTTCTGATATTTCTTCTGGAGAGGTCCTGGGAAACAGCCCCACAATGTCTCTCTTTTCTATCCTCACTACCACTCCCGCAGTTCAGGTCTCTCATAACCTCTGGTTTGGACGACACTGTGGCATCTTAATTCTTCCCTTGCTTTCTATTTCATCTTCCTCTTAACTCATAATTTATATCCCTATCAGGTTAATTCTTCTAAATCATAAATCTGATCATGCACACTCATGCTTAATCCCTTAATAGCTCCCCCATTGCTTCAGGAAAGAGCTCAAATTCTCAAGCATAACATATAAGGTCCTTCATAAACTCTTCCTGCCCATTTTAGCTTTATCTCCCAACTTTCCCTACTCAGACCCAATTCTCCAACCATAGCGAAATATCTGAATGTTTCCTGATTGTGCCACACTGTGTCCCTAAATTGCTTCTGACTGTAGCAGATTGGCTTGGCTTGCCTTGGCTAGTGGGATTATTCCTGAGGCGGTCACTGTGGCCCAAAGTATATGATGTTCTGATCAGCCAGATTTCAATCATATGTCCATAGCTTCAGTCAAAGTGTGTGAAATGAGAGGAATGGGTAATTTCCAAAGACAAATGTAGGAACCATTCCAGACAAAGGGGGAGTGGCCGCTGGGTAAGACAAAGCAGACACCAATTACAGAGTTTCCATTTCTACATTCCCATGGTCTCAGGCTGTAAAATACTTGGTGACTTACTGAATTGCCTTCCTTTCCCTTAATAGGCTATGAACTATTGGAAAGCACTTGACACAAATGCCTAATTCATAGTAGACATTAGCTAAATAAGGGTTTAACAAATAATTTAAATCATTTCCCCATTTAGAAGTGGCACAGTTATGCTTTACCTTTAAGAGGAAAGACACCTGCCCTCCAGTGTGGCTCAGTGGATTGAATATGGTCCCACAGACTGAGAGGTCCCGGTTCAATTCCCAGTCACGGCACATGCCCAGGTTGTGGGCTTGATCCCCAGTAGGGGGTATGAAGGAGGCAACCAATCAATGTATCTCTCTCACATCGATGTTTTTATCTCTCCCTTCCTCTCTCACTAAAAAAATAAAAAAATTTAAACATTATTGTAAAAGAGGAAAAAGAGCCCTGGCCAGCTTGGCTCAGTGGTTAGAGCGTCGACCTGCGATCCAGAGAGTCCCAGGTTCGGTTCCCACCAAGGGCACATACCTCGGTTGCAGTTTGTCCCCCGCACTGGTTGGGTCGTGCGGGAGGCAGCCACTCAATGTGTCCCTTTCACATCGATATTTCTCTCTCTCTCTCTTCCTCTCTCTCCCTCCCACTCTATCTGAACAAAAAATGGAAAAATGTTCTTGGATGAAGATTAAATAAATAAATAAATAAAAGAGGAAAAAGACCATTTTTCTTCTTCAGTGATATCCTCTGTATGCAAAAGGAAGAAATAAGGTCAAGATTTCAACAAAGTCTGTTTCATGTTTTAGTTTTTCCTATATTAGAAGGAAAATAATCATAGTACACTTACATATAACAAGTGGATAGGTGTTTTAAAGCAGCATGCATATAAATTTACCATAAATAAAGTCATTGAGTTCCCTGTAACTTAAAGCAAAATAATTACTGTTTTCATGGGAGTGAGTAATTTTATAGTTAAGTTCACTCCCATGGACTATATAGTCATTTACTAATTATAACATCACTCAAAAAGTCATATGATAAAAAAGAATCTTAATAAGTACCTTAAAGAAACTTTAGACCTGGGCGGGACTTCAGAAATCGTATCCCTAGATTTTTTCAGTTGAAAAAATTGAGTCTCTTAGAGATCAATGATTTACCAAAGTCATGAGCTGCCTTTATGACTGAATAGAGACTTCATTGGAGACATGGAGATTAGCTGAGCTACACTAAAGTGATCACTCCCCTCTCTAAAATACAGCATTTAATTACTTGTTCAATTTGATGCTCTCTCACATCAGTATCTGATTAATCTGTTTTTCTTTCAGAGCTTATCTTATTATCTAATAAGATTTTCCCCTGGTGTCTAGAGGGGGAAAGTGAGAAACATCTGTAACAAAAATAAATTAATAAAAAAATGTTTTAAAAATATGTTCCCCAACTTTGCCACTATTCATTGATCTCTATCTTTCCTGAACACCAGTCAGACTAAAACTTTATTTTAATACTCAACTATACAAGATAGTACTATGAAAAGAGTGTGGTTTTTGCTGACAGCCAAGAGATTACAGAATTTCTCTCCAGATAAATTGGCCAGATGATGAAATCCTACCTATAGATACTGGCAATTGGGGATCTTCATTGAAATATCCCAACCATATTATCCTACAATGAAGGATAAAAACCAACAAACTCCACCTATATACCTAAAACTTCCAGTCGGCTTTTATTTCTGAGCCCTTAACTGTAAACAGATAATTGTGGTTCACTACATATTTTAAGAAAACCTTTAAGCTGAAAAGTAGAGACCAAAATTAACAAGCCAACAAAAAGCAATTCAAAACAACAGAGGACAGAAAAAGTAAGTATTTTATTTTGCATGTGCCCCTAGCGGGGACCACAC